GAATACTTGAGCTTCGCAAATTACCAGTACGACGCCAAAAACAAGCTATATAACAACAAATAAAACCCAAAACGTCTTTTTAAAGACGATTAAAATCTTTTTAATCAAAATTTATACAAATTATATTTTCTTTGTATCCAAAAATGTAAACCTTAAAACCTTAAAAATAGAAATATGCTGCTCAGGAAGAAAACGGGTGCAGTGGATTCCGTCGCACTACCCCTAGACCCGCCACTGAATTCGAGAAATTGCGTATTAAAAAGGGCGAACAAAACTGTCCTCTTCCTCCTCCCATGCATTAATTACTTTGCAGCTAGCTTATGTAAAATATGCAAGAAAGCCGTGAACCGAAAATTGTCTGTCGAAGACAACAGCCGAAAAGTAAAATTATCAACCAGAAATTCGATTTCGATTCAAAATTTAGGCATCCCTTAATTTGAATTTGGTAATTGAAATAAAGTAATTTCACTCCCCATAAGTTGGAAGTATCCTTAACACTTAGCCTAATATAATAAGAGTCATTACAATYATAGAGTTTTCTGAAAACATTTCTGCCTCAATTCTTACTAAGGAATAATTACACACGTTCCGCCAATTTTCAAAAAAGGCGAGAATCAAAACCTTCAACCTTTTTTTTCAGATATTACATTCCCGAAAAAACGTCCAAAGAAGAACAGGAGATGTGCTTAATAGTTTTGAAGCACTTGGGATGATATCAARAGATGGGAGTATCGTGAAATGGTTAGGCTACCCAAAATACGAAGAAGAAGAGGAGATAAGGAAGCTAATGGTGGGTTGACATTTCCAAAACGACTGAATCTATGATATAATTCGACTCAAAACATTGCATCTAGCACCTAAAGAAATACTTCAACTATATAAACACACTCGTAAAGCATTTAAATGAGGCAATGTTCAATACGCTGCCTTGTATTAAGAGCGAGACACTGTAAGTATCGCCAATAGGCGTGAAAAATGCGTAACATTGAAATCGCTCAAACTTTGTCAGTTGGTAGGTTTAGATACGCTAAGACTGTTTGTATAATTCCTCATATGAGAGATTTTAGAATATCCCGTCACTCTGAAAGCACCTATGAAATACTGCCAATGCGTTCTGCGGTGCCGCAGTGCTCGCTATGACTGCTGGGTATTTTTCCCTTGTACTTTTAAAGAACGAATAAATTCCAAATATAAAAATTAATAATAATAATAAATAATAATAATAAATAATAATAATAATAATTAATAATAGCGGAGCTCCAATAGCAATATAGAAGCTGAAAATGATTATCTAGTACTGCCATTTCAAAGGTAGATGCTTTGTTCTAAGGAATGTGAGGTACAACAGTTTTGTTGACATGCGAACAAATATTATAAAGAGTATGTTTGTGAGAATTTAGTTCGTACTAATATTGACTTCGGTAGACTTTGTTCCGTTGGATGAAGTTTAAAATTATAATCTATAAAGGTCAATTGATTAAAAGTAAACTGAAAGCTTCTCGGCAAAAAGTAGTCTACATAAGCTTACAATAATCAACAATGTTTCAATAATCAATGTTTGAACCCGGACTACTCGAACTTCACATAATCACAGAAAACTATACAAAAATATATTTTTTACCTTCATTATCGAACTTCCGATAAATTATCGTTCAAAGGTCACCTTCAACAGAGCCATACTTGTTTCAAGCATAGGTTTCATCAATTTATTAAGTCATTCAAGACTGTAGATTCTTTGTTTTTAATCTCTCTCAATCTAACTGCTAGCATCGCATGGTCTTGGTTTCGAAATGTCCACACTTTTAGTCGACAAAAGAACTTCGCATAGATCCCTGCTTTTTCCCATATTGGTCCATATTATTGAAGTATTTCCAATAAAGTATCATCTCTTTTTGTTGTCGAAATATCAAAGTAAAATCCTT